ACATTCAAACGCTGCTTGTCCAGGTGGTGTCCTGAAAACGATGTGGGCTACATTGATAATTGGCAATCCTTTTGGGGAAAACCTGGTCTGATTCGGAGAGACGGCATCCATCCCACTATGGATGGTGCAGCTCTTCTTTCTATGAATCTGACCTGTTATTAGTCTTCCAAAACACTTCCAACACATGGTGCAGACCATGAAGCAGAGTCGTAGTTTAACACACCTCTCTGCAGCAAGAGAATTATGTGAGCATAAATGAGGCAATTCCCTCCAGTCATTTAAATGTTCACATACCGAATAATCACCAGATTTCACATATTGAAGAGAAATATCAGCTGTACTGCTGCCATCAACACCTTTGCTTATAGATGTTGGAGCTTGGCATGTTTTTCAGTATAGTCCTGTTTCTCTTGCTGTGACTAACTGTATGCATAACTGTATGCATGCATATACATGCATGCTAGGTGTAAGGGATTGCTGTTGAGTCAAAGCAATCAGCTTGTTTTCCTTAGATAGAAAACTTTGAACCAATCTGACTATATGATCTGGTTGAATTGCCTCTGTAAAGTGCCTTGAGAGGACATGTGTTAGTGGGGAGTTGCGGCCTGTTGGTTAGGACATAGAGCTCGGAATCCGGAGGTTTTGAGTTAAAGCCCCACTCCCACAGACTGCCACTATGGCTCCCTGAGCAAGACCCTTAACCCCACACTGCTCCATGGGCGCCACACAATGGCAGCCCAGTGCTCCCCATAAGGATGGGTTTAATGCAGAGAGTTAATTCCGTTTCTCTGTACTATCCACAGTGTAATGGCAATATAACGCTGGGGGAAAAAAATAGGTTTTGAATTTGAGCTATAAAAATAAAGTGAATAGAAAATATACATTTAAGTATCAACGGCTTAAAGAAATATCTATCGTCACCGTCAGCCTTTAGTTTTTCTTCTTAAACTGCTAAGAAAATAGCAGGGAACTCTTATCGTCAGTTTGGAAACACAAATTGCACCTGCTTGAACCTGCAGGTGAGAACGTTTCAACACTAGTGATTATTTGGTGACTCTCTGTTACATACATTTTTCTAGGCATCTTAGAAAATATCTCACAAGGAATTATCTGAAATGTGTTCATGGACCCTGTTTTTTATTTTTAGGAAATTATCTTTTAAACATCAACATATCATATCAGTTGTGGAAGTCTGAAGATGATGTAATGAGCATTAAGTACAAACACACATTGCTGCTATACCCATCCGGTGCTTTCCTCCTCCTTCCTCCCTTTTTATGTCATGCTTAATGAATAGGTTTGTGTTTTTGTGGAGTTTCATAGCACGAAGACAGTGAAGCTCATGACTCATTGTGACTCAACCTCCTCTGGCAGGGCTTCCACCGGAGGCTGGCAGGCTGAGCTGAGTGTGGGTGAGTAGGGGGGAGGCAAACAGGGAGAGGCTACGAGGTAGGATGAGGCTGAGACGGAGTGATTGGGGGGGGCGGAAGGATGTGGCGAGGGTTTTGCAACAGGAGGGGGAAGAGGTCAGCTGCAGGAACTCGGAAGTAGAGTTGAGTCTAGCTGGATTCGAGACAAATAAAGCCAAAATTCGCCCACACACAAGCAATGTATGAACTGCTTTAAGGAGAGTGGCTGCCACAGAAGAGGCCACGCCGGAAGCTTTAGGAACCCACAGACACTACAGACTTCTGGGAGCTCAATATCATACAACTAATACAAAACTGTGCAAAACCACAAGGATTTACCAACACCTTGCACAAGGAAATATTAAAAGTAATAGAAACTGTGATCAGGAAAGTAGTTGTAAACAGAACTGCAGACGAGAGGAGTCAGTTAATGATTTCCAACCCGCCTTGCAATTAAACCATATCCAGCCTTTAAAAGTGACGTCTATCATGGGACACGGGGATATAATTGTAAAATAATCGTTTTATTCGTTGGACTTACAGCACAGAGCTGTGCTAATAAAAGGAAAATGCTGAGTAATGAACAGCTGTGCATCATTCTGTAGGCCAGCTTCCTTATAAGCCCTAAAGTAAAGTGAAAGAGGCTGACCACATTCAGCATTTTTGTAATGACCGCTTTCATTTCAGCTTCAGGAGAGATTGCCATCAGTAGGTTTGGGGGAATAAATGGACGTCGGTTTCTAGACCTTAGTAAACTAGCTTCCAATAAAGGGACATATTTTACTGTTTTATAAGGGAGCTGCTGTTGTCATGTAGATTTCCAAACCTGGAAAACTGGACAGGTTAACTAGGGAAACTGAAGGTTTATAGTCATAATACCCGTTTATAATTCCCGTGGCTGCATTGTAAACTCAGTGAAAGCACCAGTCTGAGTAAAGACTCCACCTGGTGATCAGAAAGTAGCACACAACTGCCCATCCCCCACGTGTTGCTGCACTGTCTCCTTCTACTGGAAAAGAAACTTACCACCATGGTGTCTTTCCTGTAAGTTTAAAAAAATCCAGTCCCCCGACACTCACCACTTCCTAAACAACTCTTTTTAATACATGTGTATTTTTTTGCCTTCAATTTCAAAAGGTTAGGGCCACCATCCTGGTCTGTCACTTCAAAGGTGTTGACCCAGTCCTCCAACCGACATTAAAAAGGCAGCTCAACCACAGCTACATAGCATCCTAATGAGTCAGTCAGATATCGAATAGGTTAAGCTCAATGTTCAAATGGCACACAAAAGATCTGTGAATACTTGAGAAGTCTCAGTCCATTTTTGACAGAACAGAGAAGTGAAACTATCTGATGTTACCAATGCTGAGAAATTTCAAGATCTCAAAAAATAAAATGTCAAAAATATTAGCAGAAACCGGCATTTAGTATAGCTCTATTCATATCGTTGACTGCTTAGATGTTTAAAGCACAAAAGGTTATTATAGTGTACAGCAAAAGTATAAAACATTTTATCCTTCTTTTTTTATTACAGTAGATAGACCTCAACGACCATCTAGAAACACAGATTGGCTCCATCTTTGATTGATTTAAAACAGCATTGAAACAAAATTCAGCCAAGAGTCTGACTTGGCTGAAACTCTTGGTGCAAAACACCAGACAGGACACATCTGCACAACCCTTTTTGCCCAGAGTCAAAAGCCAAGAAACAACAAAAATTGAAAACAGTTCTCAGCCATGTCTTGCCACTCACCGCCTCTTCATGTTCCTTCCAACAATCGTAGTCTGTTGCCATGGCGATGCTGGCGTAGCACAGGCCAGCCTCTTTGGCGAGGACCACCTCTGGGACGGTGGTCATGTTGATGACGTCAGCGCCCCATTGCCTGAACATCAGGCTCTCAGCCCGAGAGGAGAAACGGGGTCCTTCAATGGTCAGCATGGTCCCTCGCACGTGGCACTTGACGCCCAAACTCCGCGCCACCTCCACCAGAACCTGTCACAGAGAACACTACCTATAAAAGCTGTACGTGGGAATTGCTCATTCGTGGCATTTCCTTCTATTGCATATAAACAGCCCCTTCTTAAAACTCTAATATTTGCAAATCTATTTACCTTTATCACCAGGGGTTATTGTATTAGAAGAACCAAACATCGTAAGATACTTTATTACCAAATTTTTGAGTGATTTTTGGTTTAATCTGTTACAACAAAAACCTGGTTATTTTTTCGCTCTCCATTTCCAGTGCTGTGTAACGCCTTGGACATTGTATTCATCAGCCTAACGATGTATAGGAAGGCTTTCATAATTGTTGCACTACAGCTCCAGTCCAGCAGGTAGTGATGATGAGAACTCTTAACTCTTGCATATTAATCGCATTAAAAAGTAGATTGTTCCACGACAACGGTGCCACTTATGGCAATGGGGTAAAAACTTTCCTAATTTTGATTTTTATTGATTTAATCTTTGAATAACTCTGGCAGTTATATCATCATATCAGGCATGCGACAAAGGTAAATTATTGATTTCCTAATATCCTCTACAGTATATCTATCCAGACATTAAAGTTTATTAAAACAATCCTTTTTGTTCAGCTTAACATTAATCTAAGTCAAACAGATCTGCTTAGCGATAAATTACACATCAAAATAAATCAAACCTTAACCGCTAGATTTAATCCAACTAAAGTATACATGTGTTTAACTTCTTTTTTACTGGTGGAAGCTAGGGGAAGCTAGAAAATCTGCTTGGAATAAGTTGTCAATTGCCTGGTCAGCTGACAGCTAGAGAAGCGGGCTAACACCTCCAAAAAACCTCCGAGCCCTTTTGCAATTAAGCAACATCTTGATCAACTCAGCAGATATTTGAATTTTACACAGCTTCATTCCTTCCTAGATACGTTGCAAAAAACTATTTTGTGTCACAGAATGTGTAATTTATCACACCACTGCACCCAATCTTCAAAAATCAGTTTCAACCTCTTTAAGTTAAAGAGTGTTTTGATAATCGGCACAGAAGCTGTAGAGATCCACAACTCTAGTGGGAGAATGTCTCATTCACTTCACTAGATATGAATTTATTAGAATGGCTTAATCGGAGTTAAAACCAAACGAGTGTCTGTCCTAGGCCTGCTGACTGTGCATTAGTTCTTTTGCAAAGGAGAAAAATTGGAAAAATATCTTAAATTGACAGTTGTCATGCTCCTGCAGCCTTGTGGCTGTAATCATAGCTCAGTGTAGTTTCAGAAAGTTGTAGATCAGGGGTGCTGAATACAAATGCATGTATTTTATTTTAGATATTTAATAAAAAATAAAGATGAAAAACATGCACGCTTTTCCTTCAGCTTTAAAGATGTATATTATCTGACACGGCTGAGAGAGTAATGGTGTCCAATTCAACTGAAATTGTGACTTTGGTGTAATCCACAGATTATGACCACCTGTCCATCATAGAGAATAAAAAGACATATGACAAATAACCATGAACACACACATATCTAAGGGCAATTAAAAGTAACCAATTAACCTTTGTCAATGATATGTTACCCATCATAAAATAGGTATCATACACAACACAGAAAAAAGTCCAAAGTGCCAAAGTATCAGGTGTTATGATTTTTTTTTTTGATATTGACATAGTTACCAAAAGCTTCTGTTTACATTATACAAATCATAAATACGTTTCACATTCAAGAGAAGACAAATTATTGCTTTTACAAACGGAAAAGCAATCAAGCTTTACGAATGAAACGGGCGTGCTTCGGTGGCGCTGTGGTTAGCGCACACGACCCATGTACTGAGGCCTAGTACTCGACGCCCCTTTCATGTCAGCATACTGTCCAAAAAACGAGCCACTAGTGCCGTAAAAAAATTTTAGAAAATGAAACTTTATTTAATTAGGGAGTCAGACCAGGCATAGGTGTATTACAGACTTGCACTGGTCAATCA